GGAGTGAGGGGGGAATGAGGTGGTTATTAACCGGCCTTTCCCTGTTCCCAGGTCTCTCCATTGGCGAAGGATTTAGCCGAGTCGATGTGCTCGCTGAAGTTTGCAAAGCGAGTCTGTAAAGTGGAGCAAGGCCCTGCCACCCAGTACCTGCTGGCACCAGGAAATGTGCCATCGTCCTGACAGGCTGCCCCCAGAGCCCTGGAAACCCTTCGAACCCTCTCTGAAGGCTAATCCAACATGCCTTCCATTGCCGGATAGCCAGCACTGTTCTGCCCTGCCCCCACCCAGGGGAGAGAGGTCAATGAAGGGGGTATTGATGGGGTGAGAATGGGCACCTTTCATTGGACCCATTGGGTCCCCTGTGTTGGGAAAAGAGAGAAAGGGGAAGGCAGAGGGAACAGGGGCAGAATTGGAGTATATTGGGGGCTAGCATACAGGTGCTTGAGGAGGCCATTCAGTTAGATCTGTACCCCCTTTGGCTGCCTTCGCCTCATAGCCTTCAATAATTTTAATACACAATAAACTCAGTGTCCCGGCCTCTCAGAGAGACGAACCAGGTCCTCACTGCCCTTTGTAGGAGGAAGCACTTCCTGATGACCCCCTCCCCCCGCCACTCCCCAATTTGTTCAGGGCTCCTTCCCCACCCACTACAGGAACCAGTTACTCCCCAGCGACCCTCTTCAAATTTCCAAACAGATCTCCCCTCCGTCAGCTCGTTCCCAAAGCTTCACAAGAACAGTTTCAGGGATGGGGAACGTGGGAATATGGAGAGCTTGGAGACACCGGGCAGATTCCCTTCTAGATGAGAGGGTGGAAGGGAGATCTCTGAGGGTTCATGGCTGTGATCGATAAAGCCCAGGCTGATGCTGGCAATTCGCTTCCCTTAGAGGGAGGTTCACTCGAGGGGTTAGGGTCTGGAATGTACTGCCTGAGAGTGTGGGGGGAGGCAGGTTCACTCGAGGGGTTAGGGTCTGGAATGTACTGTCTGAGAGTGTGGGGGGAGGCAGGTTCACTCGAGGGGTTAGGGTCTGGAATGTACTGTCTGAGAGGGGGGGGGGGGGGAGCGGGTTGGGGCAGGTCAATTCCAGACAGAGTTCAGTAATAAAATGGAAAGAACTGCAAGCCTGAAAGTTGTGGAAATTGCACTGTGAGAGGAGTACTGTAACAGAGGAGCAGCACAGAATTCAGAGGGCTGAATGGTCTCCACTTGTGCTGTTACCATTTGATAATTTAAGGGTCTTTGAATTGTAATTCACGGTGAAGGAAGTGATCAGCAGGGAAACTAAAATTTGGTCAAGGAAAGGATGTTATAGCTGCGACGATAGTGATGGGACTGAGTTGACTGTAGGATCTGAGGGTGTGCTCTCTAGTGACATCTCTGATGTGGGCTATACTGCCAGCTGGGGAGGTCAAATTTAATTAATTCAATAAAAATCTAGAATACAAAGCTAGTGTCAATGATGGTGACCATGAAACAATCAGTAATTCTTGTAAAATCTCATCTCAGTCTGTTTGGGGAAGGAACTTGCCTCCTTTGCCTGGTCTGGCCTCTATGTGACTCCAGACCGACAGCAAGGTGTTGACTCTGGCCTGGCCGTGTGAGATAACCATCTGTAACCCAGCAAGCAACTCATCACCACCATCTCGGGGGGCAATTAGGGACAATCCTGGTCTTGCCAGTTATGATTGGGGACGGGGGTGGGAGCAGAGGGCATACGGTGGACAGGTTTAATTCAGGCATACAGAGGATCTTGGATGATCATTTGGAATGAAGGCTTTGGGAAATTGTTAGAGTTATGGGAAGGAGGATGCGCGGGTAAGGATAGTGGGGGTGAGAGAGAAATGTCTGGACTCTGTTATCAAGGACCTGGTGTTGAAACTGAATTACAGAGCCACCCGGTGTGGATATATAAAGGCACAGATAACTCATTTATTAGTCACAGACACAACAGTTATTTCTGTGGATATTGTATATTTGGATAATCCAGAAAAAACTTCAGGAAGTTCCATATGAGAGATTAATCCTGCTTTAGATTTTTTTTCAAACTTGCTTGCCTATCCCTAATTGCCCAGGGGGCAGTTAACATTATTGTGGGTCTGGTGTCACATGTAGACCAGAGCAGGTTAGGACATTAGTGGTTACATGGTCACCATTAAACGAGGTTTTATTCATTCCAGACTCTTTCTTAAAATTGAATTCAAATTTCGCCACCCGCGATGGTGGGATCTGAGGCAACATTAACCTGGGACTGAGGATTACTCCTCCCAGTCACATTCCCCACTGCCTCACCCCAGTCACATTCCCCACTGCCTCTTCCCAGTCACATTCCCCACTGCCTCATCCCAGTCACATTCCCCACTGCCTCACCCCAGTCACATTCCCCACTGCCTCACCCCAGTCACATTCCCCACTGCCTCACCCCAGACACATTCCCCACTGCCTCTCCCCAGACACATTCCCCACTGCCTCATCCCAGTCACATTCCCCACTGCCTCACCCCAGACACATTCCCCACTGCCTCTCCCCAGTCACATTCCCCACTGCCTCTCCCCAGTCACATTCCCCACTGCCTCATCCCAGTCACATTCCCAACTGCCTCTCCCCAGACACATTCCCCACTGCCTCTCCCCAGACACATTCCCCACTGCGTCTCCCCAGACACATTCCCCACTGCGTCTCCCCAGACACATTCCCCACTGCCTCACCCCAGTCACACTCCCCACTGCCTCACCCCAGTCACACTCCCCACTGCCTCACCCCAGACACATTCCCCACTGCCTCTCCCCAGACACATTCCCCACTGCCTCTCCCCAGACACGGCTCTGCATTCCATCAATATTTCACTAAGCCTGGAGTGAACTCTCCCAGTGATGGATGAATTCTCAAATATCGCACTATCCTGCTCACTCTCCTCAGCACAATCGTTATGGCATAGGAGGAGGCCATTCAGCCCATCCTGTCTGTACCAGCTCTCCGAATAACTCTCTACTGGAAGCCATTCTCGCTGTAGGTCCACACATAGTTTTGATTAAATCCTCCCCCATGCTCCAGGGCAGTGTATTCCTGACCCTAACCACTCACTGATTTGAACTCCTCCATCAAATCTCTTCTTCACCTTCTCTTCATCGCGTCCCAGCTTTCCTGTCTACCCACACAACTCTTGTTGAGCTTGGGACCATACGACGTGATTCTTTTCAGTCCCTCTGCTTTTAGGACCAGGAGTAGGCCATTCAGCCCCACAAGTTTGTCCTGCTGTTCAATCAGATCACAGCTGATCTGTGGCCTATCTCATTTTACCTGCTTTTGGCCCCTCTCCTGTAATCCCTTTGTTCAACAAAACGTTATCCTTGTCAGATTTAAAACCTCTCTCCCCTCACAAAGCTGTGGGTGATAAGCTGAATTCAAACTCTGTAAACTGAGACTGAGACCAGTCAATGGCACAAAGTGTAATGGACAGAAGGCTGGGAGTTTAGAAGCTGATTCGCAGAAGAGCTATATCTGCCATCGTTACCCAGCCTACACGTGACTCCAGACCTGCAGCGATGGCCTGTGGAATTCAGTCCTCTATCAGAGGCAGCACCCTCTGCCCAGCTTTATCTGAGCAGAGCTGGTGATAGTCTGTCACTGTCTGTGTCCCCTCAGGCTCAGCAATATGCAGTGCTGAAACACAGTGCTAAGGCACAGAGATTCCTGGTATTCTGCCCTGGGTGGGGGGGAAGCTGGTGATGTTGGTTTCATATTCCTGGTTCCTCCCTGTGTTTCTTTGCCTCTGTCTGGTGTCTAGAGGAGATACACTGATGTTATTATCATGACTGAATCCCCCACATCCTGGGGGTTACCATTGACCAGAAACTGAAATGGACTCACCACATAAACACAGTGGCTACAAGAGCAGGCCAGAAGCTGGGAATCCTGCAGCAAGTAACTCACCTCCTGACTCCCCAAAACCTGTCCACCATCTACAAGGCACAAGTCAGGAGTGTGATGGAATACTCCCCACTTGCCTGGATGGGTGCAGCCCCAACAACACTCAAGAAGCTTGACACCATCCAGGACAAAGCAGCCACTTGATTGACATTACATCCACAAGCATCCACCCCCTCCATCACCGACGCTCAGTAGCAGCAGTGTGTACTGTCTACAAGATGCACTGCAGAAATTCACCAAAGATCCTCAGACAGCACCTTCCAAACCCAC